GTGCCTCGGGGTGCTGACGCAGGGAGGCCGCTGGACACGCCGCTCCCGGGACCCTCCTGCTCCCCAGCTAGAGGAACCCCGATACGCTGATGGATCTGAGGCCCTGCTCGCTGCTCCTGCTCTGGACTCTGGTGGTTGCCCTCACTCTCCTGGCCCAGGAGGTGCTGGCCCAGCATATTTACACCAACACCTGGGCCGTGCTTGTCCCTGCGGGGCCCCGGGAGGCCGACAGGCTGGCCAGGAAGCATGGATTCCTCAACCTGGGCCCGGTAAGTCCCTGGCTTCCCTCTCCCTGTGCTGGTGGTGGCTTTTGCCCGGGGCCTGACCACTCTTCCATCTCTCTGCAGATCCTGCTGCTGTCCGGGACGGTCTGGTCCTGCTGCTGCCCTCGAGCCCGGCTGTCACGGGCTCGTCCCCATGCTCTCTTGGGCTGAGCGGGGGCCAGTGGGGCAGAGGAGCCGGCGCGCCTCGGGGTGCTGACGCAGGGGGGCGGGGGAGGCCGCTGGACACGCCGCTCCCGGGACCCTCCTGCTCCCCAGCTAGAGGAACCCCGATACGCTGATGGATCTGAGGCCCTGCTCGCTGCTCCTGCTCTGGACTCTGGTGGTTGCCCTCACTCTCCTGGCCCAGGAGGTGCTGGCCCAGCATATTTACACCAACACCTGGGCCGTGCTTGTCCCTGCGGGGCCCCGGGAGGCCGACAGGCTGGCCAGGAAGCATGGATTCCTCAACCTGGGCCCGGTAAGTCCCTGGCTTCCCTCTCCCTGTGGAGGTGGTGGCTTTGCTGCAGTCTGGGTGGGTGCTGGGCTTGGCCCGGGGGCTGGGTCAGGGGCTGCTCTTTCTGGCAGCAGGGCCACTGCATTTGCGCCCATTGACTGCAGCTTCCAGCATCCGCTGCATTGACTCAAGGGTGGTAATTAGCTGGATGGATCCGGGGCCTCCCCCCATGGGATGGGCTGGTGGCATGGCACGGCATGGCATGGCACGCTCTGCCTGCTGGAGGGGGAAGGAGGAAAAGCCCATCCCAGCGTGAGAAAATTGGGAGTGCTGTGCATTGGTGGAGGAGGGGAGGGCTCCCAGTTCCCAACAGTGCTCCCCGCAGCGAGCTGCCCCAGCACGGCACGGTCTCGGCTCAGCTAGGGCGGCCGCAGCACCTCCTGGGTGTCCCCAGAGCAGGCAGTCTGACAGCAGCCGCGTGTCCTTGGCCCTAAGCTGCCCTTCGCAGAAGGTGTGTCAGCAGGTCCCTGCCCCTCTCGGCCTCAGCCAGTGGAGGGATGGGGCCGTGCACGCGGCTGTGCCGGGCCAGTGCCTCTGTCACCCTCCTGGCAGCAGGGCGGGGAGAACGGGGTGGTGGTGAAGGAACTGGGGTCCCTTGTGTCCCCTGTGGTCCCAGCTGTTCCCGAGCCTTGTCACCAGTGCGAGGAGCTCTGCAGCACTCTCCTCCCAGCAGCCTTGGCAGGGTGCAGCTCCGCTGTGCTCCAGGCCCCAGGCACCCATCTCCGCCTTCCCTGGCCAGCTGCGGGCCATATGCTTGTTGGTAGTAAGGGTGCGTGCAGGTCTGGCTCCCGAGGCATCAGCGTGAAAGCCAGGCCTTGGCCGAGAGCAGCGGGGCTTGCCAGCGCGGTGCTGTGGGCAGGATACGTCTCTGTTGGCAGGCTGCTTCTTGCAGGCCAGCACTCCTTGATGCTGATGTTGTAGCACAATGCCAACTGCCCCCCACTCTCGGCACGGGCTGGTCCATGGGGTTTTTCCTGGCCCTGCACCGTGGGCAGGGCACTGGCCCCTGGGCTGGTGGCAGGTGGGGGTTTTGGCAATGGAGCTGGTGCCAGCACAGGTCCGTGACCAAAGCAGGGGCCAAGGGGATCCCACGGGAGCGGGTGCAGCAGGGCTGGCCCAGAGGGATGCCCCTGGGCCCCCATGCAGGCACGGAGAGCTAGACTCACCCTGCTCCGGTGAGGTGAGGCTGGTGCTGGCGGAGCAGAGCCCACATGGCTCTGCCAGCCCCCGCTGGGCTGCCCACGTGCCCGGGACTCTGTTTCTCCGAGAGCGGGGCACTGCCGCTGGGCCGGGCTGGGCTGCCTCTGCAGGAAGGAAGCAAGGGGCAAAATCCCAGAGGAAATTGCACAACTCATGGCTGTGGTGTCAGGACCTCGCTGTGAGCAGCTGCCGGGGCGGGCGGGGAAGGTGGCTGCCGCTGGAGCCAGCGGGGGCCCTGTCCTGCCACCCGAAAGGAGCCCTGCGTGGGGCACTGGGTACGCGGAGCTCTGGGGACAGGGACCCCCAAGTCCTCTGGGGCTCGTGCCAGGGGAGGGCGATTTGTGGGGGCTGGGGCCAGGCACGTGGGCTGCGGGGACAAAGGAGCCGCCTCACGCAGGTGCTGTCTGCATGGAAGTGTCTTAGAGCCCATGTCAGGGCAAAGGATGTGTCAGGCCAGGGCCGCTGCTGTGCGGAGGGGACCGGGAGAGTGGCGCAGGATGTGTCCTGCTGGGCTGGGTCTCTGCTGAGACCCCTGGGGGGTGACAGGGCTGAGGTGCCATCAGCCCGCTACTGGCGGCGCTCCCTGTCACGCCGTGGTGCTAGGTCCCAGGCCCAGCCGCCAGGGCTGAGGGCACTGGGCTCTGCGGCCGTGTCTCCGGCAGCCCCCGGGGTGCCCATCAGGCCCCGGGGCTGCAGCGCAGAGACGTGCAGGGCCCTGTGGCTTGGGGACTGTTTGAGGTCCCTCCCTGCGAGCCATGCAGGTTCTGTGCCAGCTCTGCCCGGCGGCGCCCACCTTCTCCCCGTGCCACTCGCTCTGTGCCGGAGGCTGGCACCTCCCGGCTCTCCCAGCCTGCTGAGCTGCCGGCAGAGCAGCAGCGAGGCAGCACCTGCAGTCGGAGCCCCGCAGGCTGTGGCAGCTTGAGCTGCGGCAGGAGCTGCTGGTCTGGGCACATTTTCTCCGGTTCTGGAGCCCATCCCGGTGTCTGTGCTGTGGGACGAGGCTTGGCTGGCCTGGGCAGCCTGCTCCCGCAGAGGGGCCGTGGCGGCCCGGTGGGAAGAGCAGGGCTGGAAGGAGCCGGGCTTTCCCTCCTGGGAGGTTTCTGGGCTGCTGTTCCTGGGGGGAGCGTGCCGCTGGGACAGGCTGTGGCAGCCAGCCTGGAAGGGGGGGGACTGGTGCTTCTGGCAGTGCCCCAGTGAGAGGCCCCCAGGGTCCTTATCTGAGAGGATCCTGGCCTCAGCGTGGGGTCTGGACACTGTCCTCAGAGGCGTGCTGTCCTGGCGTACTCCCTGCTCCAGCACTGCCTGCGGAGCCGGGGTGGGCGGGCAGTCCCCCAGCAGCACCAGCCCAGGGGGGACTGCTCTTACCTCCCACACTGCTGGGCTGCAGGTCCCCACTAGCCCCTGCTGCCGCCCGGCACATCACCCTGCTCCTGGGGATGCAGGCGGGTGCACAGGCAGCCTGCTGGCCCCGGGGCTGGCCGAGGTGGCCACGAGCGGTGGCAGGAGGTCAGGGCAGGAGCGGTGAGCTGGCACTGCTCCCCTGGGATCGGCACAGCCCGCCCCGGGGATGCTCGGGGCTGGGGGGCGGCTCTGCCCTTGCTGAGGACAGGGACTTGGGGATTAGGGTGGAAGCGTGTGGGCTGGCCGGCTCCTGGCTGCCACCGCAGTGCCTGTGCAGACCTAATCCAGTCGGATGACCAGGCAGAGCCACGATCTGCTTGCAGGAACAATCGGAGCTCTGTCCTTACCCCTGGAGGGGTGAGGGGTGCTGGGGGAGGGCAGCAAGCCTGCAGCTCGCTTCCCCCTCTGCCAGCCCGGTGCAAAGGCTTTTCACCATGGCACCTCCCCAAATGCTCTGAGCTGCTGGGCGTCCCAGGCGGCACTGGGTGGACACGGTGTGCTGTGGAGAACTGGTCTGGGTCTGTCCCCAGTGACTGGTGGTGCTGGAGGCGTGATGCTGCCCTAACAAGCAGGGCTGCAGCTCTGCAGCCAGCTGTGCCTCACGGGGAAGGGGTGCGGAGCTGCAGGCTGAGTCCTGGCTTTTCCTCTGTCGGCCCAGGGCAGGAGGAGGGCCCGGCTGCCACCGGTGCCAGGGAGCGCGGCCCCACGTCACAAGCACCACATCTCAAGTCGGCAGCATGCTCTGCAACTTCCCTGGATAACACCAGCTGGCGTGGGGTTGATTTGCACGCCGCATTGTCCCCTGCTGCAAGCTTGCTCCCCACCACGGTCCAAGGTCTGGGGGTTGCACACAGAGAGGAACGGGGGTCCTGCGCTTGCAGCGGGGGCTTTGCCTGCCCCGTCCCTGGGGACTGACGTGTGCCGGCGTGCTGTGAGCATCCCCTGGTGATGGAGCCGTGGACGCAAGTGTTTGGCTCTTGCTGTCCTGTGCCACCAGGGCTGGGCTGCCACCAGCCCAGTCTGTTCCCTTCCCTGCCCAGGGCACAGCTGGTGCACGGGGGGCTGTGCCGCGGGGGGAGCCCTGTGCAGCGGGGCGATTCCCCTTCGGTGGGCAGGGGCTTGGCCTGCTGGCATGCGGTTTCCCCTGAGCAGGGGTGGTGCGGGCCCGGCTCCAGGTGCCGGGATGCGTTTCCCTCACCCCATGGAGCACAGGGGGGCTTCTGAGTGAAGCGTGTAACTCGGAGAGCCACAGCACAGACTTGCTGCCCCCAGGCTGAGGGTGCTGGCCAGCCGGGTGCACCTTTCCTCCCCTGCTCGGCTCCGGCCGGCTGCGTGGCTGGCCTGGGAGGCAGCACATCTGCAGAGCTCTGATAAGCTCGGCAGGGTTTGTTAACTGCAACCAAACTGTTCTGCAGCAGCCTGGGGTGGCGGAGGACGAGATGTCCTCTCCCTCGTGTTCCCACAGCCCTTCCCAGCCCTGCAGGTGACGGCGCAGCCTGGGCAGCCAGACCCTGCCTGCAGCCGCTGCCCAGGCTCCGTGGCTTCCAGCGGGGCAGGGTGGGCACTTGGCCCCCTTCTCCCCAGTCCAGGCAGGCTGCTGGGCTGGGAGGCCCTGGGCAGCAGGGGTGGGGCCTCCGCGGCCAGGCCAGCCTCCAGGACATGCAGGAGGGGATAAGGAAATGACAGCAGTGGAGAGGGTTTGGGATTTAAAAATAACTGGCTGGGTGGCTGCATGGCCTCCTGGCCCAGCTGGGCTGGGCTGTGCTGTGCTGGAGTCCCATCCTGCCCCGACTGGGTTGTCCCCGCACGCGTGGGAGCTGGGCCACGGCCAGCGCAGCACGGCTCCTGGGATGGGGGCTGCCCCCGCCCGGGGCCAGACGCCCACGTGCCCCCTCGCTTTGCCCTGCTGGAGCTGGCTGTGCCCCGGGGGGGCGACGGGCGCTGGGCG